CCCCCCCAGCCTCACCACCCACTCCCCTTCTCTTAGACACACAGAGCCCCCAAACATGCTTTTTTAGGACTTCACGCTTTGTACATGCTGTTACTCCTGTTTGAAGTTCCCTCCTCCTCCCCTCCTGCCTTGTCTCCTGGAGGACTCCTAGCTATCCTTCAAAGCCCTGCTAAGGGATCCCTTCTTCTCGCCTAGAGGTCTCTAGATTGCCCGAGAGGAAACCACTCCCATCTTGGGGCGCCTTTCTGCACCTTCTGTGTTGAATTTTCCCTGTGGGGTGTGGCCCTGAGTCATCATTTCAGCTCCTCTTATCTGCCCCTCTCACTAAACTGGGCATCTTGAGGGCAAGAACCGTGCTTCGTTCACCTCCCCACCGCCCAGAAGGCTGGAAAGAAATGACAGAGCCACAGGATTCTGCCATCCAAGGAGTTCAACCCAGCGCTTCTGAGCCTCTCTCCGTCCCAGCCAAAGACCCTGCGATTCCAAACCCCACCCCATGTGGGGACGTGGACCTAACGTTCCACAGGCCCAGCCTCAACAGTCTGGGATTTCAATCCAAAATACGATGGCCCTAAACTTCCAACAGAGAGACTATGATTCTAGAATCCGCCCCAAAGAGCTGTGGGCACCCCTACTTTCTGTCTTCTAACCTGACCTGATTCCACCCTGCAGACCACACAATTGCAGGAGGCCATGAGAGGAGGGGAAGCCGCCCCCGCCGCTCCCCCGACTCCCCGCACAGGCCCGCCCCCACCTCCCCAGCCCCGCAGCCCACATGCCCCACATCCGCAGGCAAGCACCTGGCTCTGTCTGGCTCTGCCCTGCTCGGACCCAAGCTGAGACGTCTAAGAGCAGGATGCGCCCCATAGTGTTTCTTCTCCCTCATCTGCCAGGTGAGTGGGTGGGCTGCCCTGGGTCTCCCGTCACTGGGCCCGCCACCACCTCTGCCCCTCGGACCGGCATCTGCTCCCTGACTTCCCCCGCCTCCTCCTCGTCTCTCTCACCAGCTGCCAACAAGCCCCAGAGCCTGTGGTCAGGTTGAGTCTTGTCTCCTCACACAGGAGGAGGGAGCCAGTGATAAACACATCTGCGATCCTTTCCAAGACGCTCAGGGGGGAGCGGCTGCGGGCCGGCCTCTTTGCTCCTGCCCGTTCCCCAACTCCCCCGTGCATGGGGCTCCCAGAAGCCTGTTTTGGGGGGATTCTGGGATGGGGGCCCAGGCCTTTGAATAAATGGTACACTGCAGGATCGTGGGGGGCCTCCTGCATGCCCTCACCTGGCCCTGACTGGCACCTGGGGATCCAGAACAAGTTAAGGGTCACAGTCTCATTCGACAGATGGGGAAACTGAGGCCCCAGGAAGAGATGGGACTGAGAGCTGATACACAGTGAGCCTTACTCCGGGCTAGGCGGCTGTCTTTGCTCCTGACTGCTGGGCCACATCTGAGCTCTTGGGGTGCCCCGTGGCAAGGAGTGAGGGGCTAGGGTGGGAGACCGCCTTCCTGCTATGCTCCGGCTGAGCGATGTGGCACTGCTGTGGGTATCTGAGGGCCAGTAGGGACCCTCTCTGGGCCTCTGCTTGCACCCTCATACCACAAAGGGGCCAGATGGCAGTTGGTCAGGCCCTCCCCTGTGCACACGGGGGAGTCCCGAATTCCACCTCTTGGCTCTGGAAAACACACAGTGCCCAGCTGAACCGCTGTCCCAGGAGGCCACGCTCAAGGGTCCTCGGGAACCAGAGCGGAGTTGGGCAGCAGTGGCGCATCCCCTCAGCTGGGTCTCCCCGAGCTGGGAGAGCAGCTTCTGCTCAGGAACATCAGGTGGGGCCCAGCCCACACCCTGCCCAGACCCTAGGACTGACCCACCTAAGACACCACTCTGCCTCCCCGGGGTCCATTTCTATGACGTCTGCCCCTCCCTTGCTTCAGAACCATCAGTGGCTCCCCAGTGACCATAATGTGCTCAACCATTCACTCGGTAGGCATATAGGCCGCCTCCGTATGCCAGGCTCTGGGGGTGGCTGTGAGTGGGACACACGGGGTCGCTGTCTTCGTCACGTTTACGGTTTAGGGAGGGAGCAAGCCCCAGAACAAGCCTGCACCCAGAGAGGCTAGGAAGGAACTGAAAGGGGAGCTTCTCTGAGGGGGGGATCTGAGCTGAAGCCTGAGCACTGAGGAGGAGGCAGCCACAGGAAGACCTGGGGGCAACTCAAGGCTCTCACCCCTTGGCCTGGCAGGTGACCTTCCAGGCTCCCCAGCTTCTGCTACCCCTTCAGGGACCCACAGAGCAGCCAGTCTGGGCCCCTGAACTGGCCCCAGCCTCCATCCTTGGGCCTTTGGCCACACTATCTCCCCACACCAGACCTGGCTTGCCTTCACCTCTCTTCTCTGCTTAGCCCACCTTCACTCATCTTTTGGGGCTCACCTCCTCCAGGAAGCCCCCTGAGGTCGGTCTTATGACCTCTGACAGCTCCCATCGTCTGCATCACCCAAGCCCTGCCCTGAACAGCAACCGTGGCCCCCACACCTGCTGGAGCTGGGTAGCTTAGAAAACCCTCTCCCACCGGATATACACTGAACCTTTGTTACCCCGGGCCAAGCATTCTCTCCTGTAATTCTGACAGCGGCCCCAGCAGGCAGCCACAGATGAGGAAACTGAGGCTGGGAGCAGTAAGCCACTTGTCTTCCCTCTGCGCACCTCCAGGAAGCGGGACTTCAAGGGCAGGTGGGAGACCGTGACCTGGGACCTGAGCCCTAAAGAGTGACCTGACCACAGAAACAGGGAGGAATGACGGCTGAGAACACTGGAGGACATGCTGGCCCTGGGCAGGGGCTCTGGCCAGGGCTGGACAGGCGGAGCCAGCACGGCCTTGCCATGTACCCTGGGACCTCATCCTGACGCAGGACAGGTGAGCGGCTCTGCCTGTGTGACTCACCGTGATGGCCTGGGAGGCTCTGACACACAGGATGTGGCCAGAGGCTGGAGAGGAGGAGGGCGGGAGGCTTCTGAAAGCTGGAGGAAGGGCCAGTTGGCACCTCTCATTCGTCTACACACCTGGGTGCCTTGCTCCCCTCCAAAGTGTGCGGGCTACCCCCAGCACCACCGGCCAGACAGACTCCCTCCCACATGACAGATGTTTGCACAACTTGCAATCAACTCACCCTATGCTGAGGACTAGGTGTGTGCCAGGCCCTGGGGCGAGGGCTCTCCCGCCGTGTCTCCTTCCCTGCTCACCTCAGCCCTGAGGACACTCCTGTAGCTCTGCTTCCTTCCCCAGGAACAAGAGACAGCTGGGATCTGAGCCCTGGCACCTCACCGCCAGCCGGCGCTCTGACCACCACGCCACAGCGGACTGTGGTGCGCAAACGCCAACTCGAGGGCCAGACGTGCTGGGTTCGAATTCTGGTTTTGCTTCTTATTAGCTGTGGGACCCTCAGCACATTACTTAACTGCTCTGTGTCTCAATTTCTTCACCTATAAAATGGGGATAATGATGCCACTGTTCAGAGGGATGCCATGAAGATTAAGTGAGCTGACATAGCCAGGGCTAGATGACAGCTGGCCCACGGACGTGCTCTAGCGGAACGAGAGCCGTGCCACTTGACCATCTGTCGCTCAAGGCCCACACTTAGCCGACAGATGTGTGCTTTTGAGCCCCTATGGTAATCTTCTTTTTTTACTTTTCCTATATTTTTAAGATTTACTGATGACTACTAGTTTTAAATGCCAAAACTTGAAAATGAAGTGAGTGCACGTGAAAGTCTGAGTCTGAGATCAGAGGACGTGGCCACCCTGGGCCGGCATCCCCACACAGCCACAGCGGGCTGGAGCAAGTTGGGCCCATGGACGCCGTCTGTGTTCCTTGGCCTCCACAGCCCAGTGCACACTTTCCCCTGTTCTTGTCACTCCTGCTCCTGCCAGCCCCCCTGGGTGCCCGTGTCTGTGGCCGCTGGTGGTGCCACACACATCCTGTCACTGCAGTGGTCCGTCCCCCGCCCAGGCAGCATCGAGCCCTCCTTCCCCATCCATCCTGGCCCATAGCCACTTCTGTACAGAGCTCCGCCTGACATCAGACATTTTTCCTCTCCCAACACCTCCTGGGCCCAGGGGCCCCAGGGTGGGCTCTGAGCACCTTGACCTTTACAGGCCTTCCAGAGCCCACTCCCAACCTCAGGCCTCAGCTGAGGAGACTCCCCGAGCCAGGTGGCACTGATCTGGGTGCCCCAAGATGCCTCCTCAAACTGCCTCTGTTTAAATACTTCCTGGGACGGGGAGCTCACTCCTTTCTTGGTAACTCAATCCATTTCTCAGTGGCTATGGCTGGCCCTCACACTGGCAGGACCTGTCTCCTTGTGACCCCGCCCCCACTCCCACCCCATGGACCTTTACTCTGTACTCTGGGCCTGCAGACCCATCTGATCCCTTGCTCTGGGACAGCCGGCTCCTTGCAGGATAGGGTGTCCAGTCCCCTTTCTAACCCAGCCATCTCTGCTACAAACGTCCTGGGACATTCCTGACTCTCTAAGCTAAGCCCAGAATTCAGGAGGATCTGAGGAGGCAGAGAAGAAGGTATTGTCACCTCCTTTATTCTGAGCTCCAGATCTTGGCTAAGGTGACCAAGGACACATTAGCAGCCCTGGCAGCTGCTCCACAGGGATGACTCCTACTGAACTCACCTCAACCCCTCCCCACAATCAGAGTTATGTACAGCTGATTTTGTGGACCCAAAGATAAGAGTTCACGTCTGTCCCTCTTTCCATCTTGCTGAGCTACATCCAACTTGTTTTAACAGAGATTCAATTATTCAACTGCTTCAGTAACTGACAAGCATCACGCACCCACAAATCCTGACCAGCAGCGAACTGACAACAGAGTCAAGCAGAATGAGGCTGTGTGCAGAGCCCTGTGGCTCACCACAGGAGACCCGACACCAGCCATTCTGAATAAGGAACCCTGCGGCATCTCTGCCGGAGCCGCCCGGCTCCCCTCCTGGCCGCCTACCTTTCGGCCTGCCTCGTTATTGTGTAAGTTCATGAGAGTCCGGGCATTCTGCTTGATCTCCCGGGCATCCACAAAGACCTTGGCGAAGCCGATGCCGTAGCGGATGTCGGCAGAGCAGCCACCCCACTTCCAGCCCTCGTCCCGGTGGTACTGGCCTTGCTTCTCCTTGTCGCAGCCACAGTCGCTCAGGTTGCCCTGGGTGCAGGCCGCTGTGATGGCGTGGGCCACTCCGGCAGCAATGATGGCGTACGTAAAGGCAGCCTCCCGGCTCCCTGCGGGGAGAAGAGCGCAGACTGGGGTCAGGTCCAGGCCGCCGGGGGACAGCGAGCTGGACAAGAAAGGAGCTGGCTCTCTGGAACAGCTCCACAAGGACCTAGGAGTGCTCATTCCTCGCCCCTAAGAAGCGCTCTGTCTTGGGATGATGACAATGCCCGAGCCCCCGATCATGCACACACCCACTCAACCCCAATCCTGAAGGTCCTCGGGCAGTCGACTGGGCAGCGGAGGAGAAAGGCAGGTGGGCTGGTTGCCCAAGCTCGGGAAGGCCAAACGAGGGGACTTTGGTCGGTTATCACCCACTCCCGACCACACTCGACACGGCAGTGTGAACCGTGCACTGCACGATGCTCGTGGCATCTGGCGACACACTGTAAGCAGCATTTCTTGGACACCTGAAGTGTGCACAGGCTCCAGAGCCAGAACTGGGAGAAAGGCCAAGAGCGTCACTCTCCGGCTCTGTAGCTTTCAGCCCATGACGACCCCTCCCTGTGTCTCAGTCTCTTCGGCTGTACGATGGGGACTTTGCAATAGTCCCTTTCTCGTGGCAATGACAGAGAACCGTAAGAGTTTGTCGACGTAAAGCTCTCAGCTCCATGCCTGGCTTAAGGCACCTGCCTGATACAGCAATGCTTGTTCTTGTGGCCCCTGTTATTACTGCTGTGTGTCACCTGCCATTTATAGGTCTGTCCCCTCCTTTTCTCGGTGGCCCCCTCACTGGACTGTGAGCCTCTCTGGGACCTGTCCCCTGCACACCCGCGTCCTCAGGCCTCCATCTGATGCAGAAGGCCAGGGCTGGAGGAGGGGAGAGGGCACCGCCCATGGTCAGGCAGAAAGGGGCAGATACAGCAGCCGGAAGGTTCAGTGGGGGTCCGGGGAGCCGCTGAGGCACTGCTTTCCCACAGGTCTTCCCAGCTGTTTGGGGACAACCCTGACAGGAGGCCGGGAGCTACATACAAGGATTTCCAAGGGTCCTGCAGGGTGGTGCTGGGGTTTTAAGTGGGGGTGGGAGGGTCTGGTGTAGCCGGCGTGCAGGAGTGCTGCCACGCAGTCTCTTAGCCTCTCTGGGCCTCAGTCTCCCCACCTGCAAAATGGGGTCAGAGCGTCCACTGCATAGGATGAAGATGAACCAGCGCGCTCCATGGGACGCCCTGTGTGGTGCACGCCCCGAGTGAGCACTCAGCAAGTTTGCTCTCAGAGTCAGGGCGGCGTGGCGTTCAGGGAGGGCACCCTGGAGGAAGAGGCCCCTGAGCCCAGAGCAGGCAGATGGGGCTCAGCGGACCAAGCAAGCTGAGGCAGGAGGAGAATTCCAGGGCGTTGGGATGGGGATGGCTGAAGCAGAGGGGGAGGAGTAACCTGCAAGTGGCTTCGAGCCCCAGGTCACTCAGACCCGCACTCGGATAGGCTTCCCCTGTCCCCTGCATCCATCTCACTTCGTGGCTTCCCTCCCCCAGGCTGCCAAGACACAAACAGCCTGTGCCCCCGCCCCCAGGTCCCAGTCACCGCTCTCGTCCGGCAGACACGCTGGCCTGCCCACCTGCTGGGCTGGATGGCTTCCCGTGCCCAGCCCCTCTGCTCTGCCGTTCCATGCCAGCCCATCCACGGCATCCCTGTGAACGCGCAAATCCCTGTTCCACCACTTGCTTACTGTGACATGGGCAAGTCCCCTCTCCTCTCTGAGCCTGTCTCCTCGTCTTTGAGTGTGGAGCACGCCACTGTCCGCCCGATAGGAGTTGAGGGGTTAAAGGCGAGGGTGCACACATGCCCGGCCCGGGGCCTGGCCCAGCAGATGCCCCTGCACTGGGCACTCCCCTCATTCTGCCTCAACCTTTGGGACCTGCAAACAGCATTATCTGAGCACCTGCTGAGTTCCTGACCCTGCACGCACTATCGTGTTGGCATCAGAAACCCCACGTGTGCAGCATGTGTTTGCCAGGGCCTGGCACAGACCAGCCTTGACGGGCAGCTGCAGTGTGGACAAGCGCACAGGCAGGCTGGATACCCGACAACGCCTCTGTTCTGTGAAATTAAGAAACGCTGCCTAATCTTTACTAAGATTTTCTAATTTTGCCTGAGATTTCCTAATGCTTGGCTGGGCTCACAGGAAGGCGAGGGAAGCCGCTGGGCGTGCAGTGAAGACAGAGCTGACCGGCAGCAGTGCAGGGGCCGGGAGGAACAGAAGGGATGTGGCCGCCTCGCGTTGCTGCATCTGCGAAGGAGGGAGCTTTCGAGTTAGGGTGTCGAGGGCAGGAGCCCAGGACCCAGCCCACCGAGGCAGGACACTGGAACAGAGACAGCGCTGGGTAGGCAGAGTCCCGGGGAGAGGGCCGACTGAAAACGGGTTCCGCCCCAGCGCAGCTGACCAACAGGCAAGCCGGCCTGCCTTGGCCAGGACAGGAGGTGGGAAGCCCGGAGATCCCGGGAACCAGGAGCCACACTCCTGTCTTTGCACAGATTGAAGGCTCAATTTTATCCCCGCATGTTCCAAGGGCTCCCAAGCCAGTGCTACCCCACAACCCCTAGAGGAGCAAAGATAGAGCCTGCAGGCCCCAGCTAACACTACTACAGAGCATCGAATGCAAAAGAAAATAACATCCTGGAGGAGACAGCCAGCCAGCAGTGAGATTAGACTCTCAGGGGCATCAGAGCAAAGAATAATCAGATGGAGAGTCTAAATAGAACAGGATGTCAGGTAGGGAATGCCTGTTCCACCACTTTCTAGCGGTGTGACCTTGGGTGAGTCACCTAACCTCTCTGTTCTCTGGTTCTTCCACCATACAATAGGGATGACAACCATCCATGTAATTCAGGGTGATTGAAGGACTAGAAAACATTAACAAAGGAAGGCACTTAGCAAAGAGACTGGCATGAGGAAGTGGCCTCAGATACTAAATTTATAACATTTCTATTGATGACAATAATAACAGTTCCTTTTAAGAGAGCTGGAAGGGAAGCAGCAGAAGTCTTCATTATCTTCATCTACAGCTGAAGAAACTGAGGCCAAGAGAGAGATCCGGCTTGCCCAGGCCACCCAGCTGGTGGGCAGCAGAGCCAAGCTACAGACTCAGCCTCTGGACACCTGTACAGACTGGCAGGAACTGTCCCGAGGGATGAGGGCTCCAAGGTGCAGCGGGCACCGCTGGCAGCCTCCAGAAGTAAAAGGAGACAGTGTCCCCTTTATCAGACCAAGAATGGAGGATGCAAATTGAGGAGGGGGTGGGGACCCTGGCCGGTGTCTGAGGCTTACCCTTCTGCCAGGCTCCTCCTTGGGGGTGGGGCCAGGGGCAGGGTGGGGGGCTGCAGTCAACACCCTTTGTGCTAATTTTGTGTGCAGCTGAGCTACCACTCAGCAGGTAATAGTTCCCAGGTCTCTCTGAGCCCCCTGAGCAATGCATGACAATGCAGCTGATGAAGGACCCACAACTAACTAAACACACAGCAATGATGGTGGCTTCTGTTGCCACACAGGATCCCCAATCACATCCTCTGAGGTGGGGGAAGGGCAGTCGCATCCTGGTCCCCACTTGAACTCTCCTGAGTTCAAGGTGAACCCCCAGACCAGAGCGAAGTCTATCATAGGCCATGGCCTTCCCCTCTCTGCTAAGCTGGCCCTCACCTCGGCACCCACTGCCCCTGAGAAACAACGAGGGACCATTATTCTTGGCTTCAGAGCTCCCAGGGACCCAGGCACTGGCAGCAAAAGTCCAATGCTTTGATACCAAAGGGTCATTGTTGTTCCCGCCATTGACGTTGGCCTTGCCCACCAACATTAGACTGGGACTACCCAGTCTCACCGCCTCCTTTCCCCTGAACACTGACCACCGTCCTGGGCATCGGGCTGGCTGTGTAACTGTCAGGCCTGTTACTAAGCATCTGTTGCTTCCTCTGTGAAATGGGCACGATAACAGCACCTATGCATCATGGGTTTCTGAGTGCATGCAATCACAGAACGAGGGGAAGGTGCTGAGCACAGCTCCTGGCATGTGGTACGTGTTAGTAAACGTTAGCCCTTGTTGTTGCTTGTTATTATTTCCACCAAGACCCATTGTGCCTCATCATGCTCCATGACGCCCTGATGAACAAGACAGCCTCACGCAGAGGCGACTGTGTGGGGCTGAGCCAGCACCTGTCTGCCCCGCCAACTCTCAGGTTCGCAAGGGGACAGGGACCATGTCTGTCTCGCTCCCACTGTTTACAACCCCCTCCATAATGTGTGAAGGGATGAATAAAATGAGCAGACCTGGGTTCCAAATCTCCACCCAGCCAGGAGCTGGATGACCTGGGGCAAGTCACTTAACCTCTCTGGGTCTCCAGTTCCATATCTGTTAATGCCACCCACCCTGTAGAAGGAAGCAGGTATCACCCAGCACAGCGCTGGCGCTGGTGCATAAATGAATGGCAATGACTGCTCTAATGATTATAATCGGTGACATTACAGGCACCTCTGGAGGTGCGGAGGGAGCCTCCCATCTTAGCTTCCTCCACAGCCCTCCTGCCATTTTAGACTTCTCTGGCTCTTGTCTGTTCCTGCACACATGCCCCCACCCCCCTACCACAGAATGTCCTTGAGGGCACCGCTTTCCCATGTTCCCTCCATGTCCCCAGGCCTGACACGGGGTAGATGCTCCATAGGTGCAGGTAGTAGGTATCTGTTGGACGAATAAAGGAATGGATGAAAGAAAGCTCCAAAAAAGTGGCCAGCAACCATGTGACCTTGATTGAGTGCTTGCCGTTTGCCAGGCTCCACGGTAGGCGCTGTGGAGAATGGTGCTGGCTGATCCCTCAGGAAGATGAGCCCCCAGGGTGCAGGCGGCTCTGCCTAGGCAGGGGTGGAGCAGCGACGGGGCGGAGCAGCAAGGAACTCCAGCCCCTCCCACCGCTTCCCCAGGGTATTAGCACAGAGGGAGCCAGAGGCTTGGGGTTTTCTTGAGGGGGTGGTGGGGAGAGAAGGGAGGAAAGAAAGTAACATTTGCTGGGCACCTACTGTGTGCCAGACCCACACGTGGTTCTTTGTGTGGAATTTCCCAACAGCCCTGCTGGGGAGACACCATTCTCCACAATTTGACCAATGAGGAAAGTGAGGCTCTGAGAGGTAAAGTGATTCACTGAGGCCACCCACCTAGAAACTGGCCAGAACTGGGATTCCAGGCCCAAGCTGGGCAGTGTCCTTCCTCAGCAACCCGCCCCCCGACCCCCGCCCCTTCCTGGCTCTTCACTGCGGCTGGAAGCCCACGGTTAAGAGACGTTCCTTTGGCTTAAGCCATTGACCTTTACTAAAATGCCTTTTTTTCCATCAAAGATGCCATTCATTTGTTGTCAGTTAAAACATCAATAAATAATTTATAAGACCCATTCAAATCGAACGAGCTAAGCTTGCTAGGCTGAGAGAAGGATTTGATGGCAGAAAGAAGGTAGAAAAGGATCCCACAATCTTAAAATCTCAGAGTCTCAGGGCAAGAGGCCGTGTTCAACTCCACCCACCCACGCCTCCTTCGCCCACCCCAGGTGAATGACAGC